CAACAACAACAACAACAACAACAACAACAACAACAACAATAATAATAATAATAATAATAATAATAATAATAATAATAATAATAACAATAACTAATATATAATCAACATAAACATTATAAACTTGTGAAGGTTCCTCCCTAAATCTCAGGTCTAAGTTAAGTCAAGTTTGTAGTCAATTTTCATCTGCATAAATCCTGCCTTATGGAGACGTTGGTGTAGCTGAGACATGCACAGAGAGCCATAAAATAGCCATATCCGTCCACTGAGACATTAAGGATATTCATATCTGTCCAGTGGGGCATACCTAACCTTACCTAACCTAGCCTAACCTAACCTCGCCTAGCCTAACCTAACCTAACCTAATTTCAGATTTATAAGTTCTCTCTAAGGCATTTTTTTTACTCTGTGTTACTTTTCCTTTAAGTGATTATAAGTGAGTGATTAAAATGACTACTTTAAGCTTTCATTTAAGTAATTTTAAGTGGATAATGATATTCCTACTTAAAAATTACTATAATATGTTTAACGCAAATTTATGTTGATAGTAATACAGTATTATTAGTTTTAGGATGGATTTTTATTTTTAATTTTCTGTAAAGTAATTGTAAGTGCGTGATGCGAGCCTCTTGGTGAAGGGACTGAGGAGAGGGAGGGGGGGGAGGGGGGGGGGGGGGGGGGGGGTTAGAGGGGAGAGAAAAGGAAGGATGGAAGGAGGGAGAGAGGGGAGGTAGGTTTTCTTAGTGGGGTCAGTGAGTCAGTAGGTTAGTTATTTATCATACTCGACCAGTCAGTGGGTCAGTCACTCAATTAATCAGTCAGTGGGTGAATAAATTAATTACTCAGTCATTCAGTCAACCATTTAGTGGATTAGCGTGTCAGTAAGTCAATCAGTAGATCAGTGAGTCAGCTATTCAATCAGTCAGGTAAAAGCATTCATTGAGCTATCTAACTCAGATTAACAAAAACCACCATCAACAATCACAGGTAAAGCATCGCGTGTGTTACCTGTGTAGTATTGACCTGAGGAACCCCAGAAACTCGACTTATTTCTCCTAAAACAAACATATTCCTTAACCTGACCTTGTATTGTGGAGGTCAAGTGATTTTTTAAGGTTTTGGTTTAACTTTTTGGAAGGAAAGACTTTAAAACCTTTCAGGGGTTTAATGTGGTTAGGTTAGGTTGGGGTGGGAGGGGAAAGGAGGGAGGGGTTGGGAGGTAGGGAAGGAGGGAGGGAAGGGGAAGGGGTAGGGAAAAGGAAGGGGTAGGGAAAGGGAAGGGGGGAGGGAGGGAAGGGGTTGGTGGGGGAAGGGGGGAAGCGATAGTAGGGAGAAGGAAGGGAGGGAGAGAGGGGAAGAGTGAGAAGGGGAAGGGAGGGGAATAATGTAATATTCTATAACGATACATGAGGACTCCTAGCGGCTCGGGTGTGAGTTACAGTCACTGTAAACTTGGCAATGTCAACAAACATGTCTCTCTCTCTTTTGGGGAAAAATTGGTAGAAATCTCAGTTTGTGTGTGTGTGTGTCTGTGTGTGTGTGTGTGTGTGTGTCTGTGTGTGTGTGTGTGTGTGTGTGTGTCTGTGTGTGTTTTGTGTTTTAATGTGTAACTACAAACACTCCACAATTGATGACAGGGCACTTGTTTCTTGTTCCCTGTGTAGCTTGGTGTCATTTTTCACCCCGAAAATGGTGGTGGTTCAATTTCCCACTTGTGAATGTAAGGTGATTTTTTTTTTAATTCCTGCTGTACTTTTTTCTTGGTAGATGAGGTTAGGTTAGGTTGGATTATGTTATTCATTGTGGGTGACAGGGTGAGGGTGGATGGACGGTAGGGTTTAGGTGGGCGGCAAGGCCAGGGTGGGTGCCATGGGTGGGTGCAAGGGATGGGAGCGAGAGCCGGGTGGGTGCCAGGGGAGGGTACCAGGGCCAGGGTAGCGTGTAGGAGTCTTCGGGCAGCCAGTAGGTCGTCAGTGTGCGTGCAGACGCGGTAGAGGTTGGACGTGTGTGGCGGCGGCTGGTCGGTGGCCCCACGCACACCTTGGCTCACTCGCGCACCTGTGAACTTGTGGAGTGGCCGAGGCTGAGTGTCGGCACAAGTGAAGTGGAATGGCAGAATGTGGCCGGCAGCCGGTATAGGTTGAAGGCCTTGTAAGTCTTCAAACTACTTTTACAAAACTTTTTTTACAAAACTTTTGCCCCCCAAATTGGTGCAAACTTGCAAAATTGACTGAATTGCTTTTCGTTGATGAGTTTCTGTAAAAAAAAATATTGCAATGCCTATTTTTAATGTGAAAATCACACGTAATCGTATTTCTAAGTAAATACGCCAGAAATTGAAAGAAAATTCGTTTTTGGAAATTACAGTCGAAGTTTTTTATGAAGGAAGTTGTGGCGCGGAACTGATCACGAGTTTTGCAACTTTTTATGTATATATTTTTTTTAATTGTTAGACTCGCTTATTAAGGTGTTGGGAGATGAGCAGGTGTTGGTAGACGAGTGAGTGTACCTGTCAACACCTGCTGTAAACAGAGGTGGTCTACTCACACCTCATTATTATTATATATAACAATGTCTATAAGATTTTTGACCATAAGAATTACTAAAAACTTTATTATTTTCTTTTAACTCAGTAATTCTTGTCGTCAAATATTTCACAAATAATGTTAATAATTACCTTAGAAATAAAAGAAATGATAAGATAGTGTTAATTACACCTGAGAAAACAACAACAACAAAAACAATCCAAACTTTTCCCCAAATGTTCAGTCAAGTTTTGTATTTATTCTCTGGTCAGGTCAAACATCCTCTGTAAACATTGACTTAAAAAAGTTTTTGGTTAAATAAACAAGATTTTGAGCGTAAGCACATCTGGCCCTAGCTACTGGACGGTGGGCTCTGGTGTGCTGGAAGGTGGGCTCTGGTATGCTGGAAGGTGGGGTCTCGTGTGCTGGAAGGTGGGGCACATATCCTGGAAGGTGGGGTCTGGTGTGCTGGAAGGTGGGATCTGGTGTGCTGGAAGGTGGGGTCTGGTGTGCTGGAAGGTGGGGTCTGGTGTGCTGGAAGGTGGGGCATATATCCTGGAAGGTGGGGCATATATCCTGGAAGGTGGAAGGGGGTCTGGTGTGCTGGAAGGTGGGGGGTGCTGTGGTGGTGTGCTGGAAGGTGGGGTCTGGTGTGTGCTGGAAGGTGGGGTCTGGTGTGCTGGAAGGTGGGGGAATATATCCTGGAAGGTGGGGTCTGGTGTGTGGGGTGATCTGGTGTGCTGGAAGGTGGGGTGCTGGTGTGCTGGAAGGTGGGGTCTGGTGTGCTGGAAGAGGTGGGGTCTGGTGTGTGCTGGAAGGTGGGGTCTGGTGTGCTGGAAGGTGGGGAATATATCCTGGAAGGTGGGGTCTGGTGTGCTGGAAGGTGGGGCATATATCGTAGCTGGGGCCATATATCCTGGTAAAGGACCATATATCCTGGTAGGGGGCTATTTATCCACCATATATCCTGGTAGAGGGCCATATATCCCGGTAGAGGGCCATATATCCCGGTAGAGGGCCATATATCCCGGTAGAGGGCCATATATCCCGGTAGAGGGCCATTTGATCAGTTCTCCGGAGTTGGTTCACTTGCCTTACAACTAACAACTGAAATATACTGAACAAAAGTTAAAAATATTTCTCTATAAAATCACTTTATTTCCCTCTAATGTCTTATTGTTTCACGTGTGTTAAGGTCATGAATGTTGGTAAGAGAGGCGGTGTGTATGTTGAATGTTAGGAGTAGTGAATGTTGGTAAGAGAATGTTAGGAGCGTGAATGATGACTAAATAATGTAAAAAGTTCTGGTAATGCCAATGAATAGTTTTCTCGCTGTTTATAATTATATGACGTGGAGGAGTTTGTTTATTATACGTATTGGGTACAGTCTTGTTTACTCTACATACGAGGGTATATTCTTGTTTATTAGACATGCTGGGTATATTCTTGTTTATTAGACATGCTGGGTATATTCTTGTTTATTAGACATGCTGGGTATATTCTTGTTTATTAGACATGCTGGGTATATTCTTGTTTATTAGACATGCTGGGTATATTCTTGCTTATTAGACATGCTGGGTATATTCTTGCTTCTAATATACACATGAGGATATATTTCTGATGTTGATTCATGGTGGCATCCTGGGAGTGTATATTTAAATACATACAGTATATAGCCAAGCCTGTATATACCTGTGTTAATATATTCATACCTACAGGGTATTAAAACTATGATATTATATGATACTTTAAATCTTTGTCAAAGTAGAGATGAACTAATTCTTTTTACAGTCATTTAATTTTTTTTACATATATTTGTTTTACATATAGTGTACCTAAGTCACCAGGATCTTTTATTTACAATTCTGTTTACATTATTTTCTTGATGATCTTTGTAAATATGTAAATAGGATGATTAGTTGAAGTAAAAAGTGGATTATCTGAAGATTTATTTCTCTTAGTTTATATTTTTCACCTGAAGATTAAATACACCATCCCTACTTTGGGGATTAGGGTAGGGTAGGGTAGGGTAGGGTAGGGTAGAGTAGAGTAGAGTAGGGTAGAGTAGGGTAGAGTAGGGTAGGGTAGGGTAGTAGGGGTAGGGGTGGGGTAGGTAGGTAGGGGGTAGGGGTAGGGGGTAGAGGGGGAGGGGTGGGGTAGGGGTGGGGTAGTGGGAGGTTTAGGGGTTGGGGTTGGTAGAGTAGGGTTAGGGGGTAGGGGAGTAGGGTAGGGTAGGGTAGGGTAGGGTAGGGTAGGGTAGTTTTGGTTAGGTTAGTATTAGGGTTATGTTAGGTTACTATCGTTAAAGTTAGGTTAGAGTAGTCTTAAGATACGTTAGTTTCACATAGGTTAGCGTTATTTTTGGTTAGGTTAGGTTAAGTTAGGTTTAGGTTGGTTACTCTACAGGTTAATTGACTTTAAAACCCTTAAATAATTTACAAAGCATTTTAATACAATTTTGTTTTTCGTTTTTTACAGATCGTGTGTGTGTAAGAACATGGCCACAATGACCGGTTAGTGTGGCCAGGAGGAACAGTCGGGAGGGCCATCTTCCCTTGGCCACTCTCCCTCCACCTTTCAAGAAAATGATGACTACAGTACCCAGAAATACCCCATCAATAGCGATTAATACCTGTCAGTAATATCAATATATATTATAAACCCGCCAATACCTACCTACCTACCTATCTACCTATCTACCTACCTCCAGTGGCACTCGTGAGAGGTAGAGGTGTTGTGGTTGTTGTTGTTGTGTTGTTGTTGTTCTAGTGATCCACAAGTGAAGGGAATTGTTGTGAGTTGTGATCTTTACCCAGAGAATGTGAAGTGTCGGAACCAGTCAAAATATAAATAGAAAATAGAATAATTTCTCTAAGTTTGTGTCATATCATGTTGTGAAATATATTGTATAAAACAATATATATATATAAAATAAATAATTGAAATCCAGGGAAAAATACACACTAAATATTGATGAAATTTACGTTTTGAAAAGGAAGTGATTCTAGTTTGACCGAATCGTTTTTTTTTGTGTGTGCTTGCTAGTTGTCTTCTATGAGCTAGCTAGTTGGGTGGCAGGCTAGTAGAAGCAGCTAGTAGGAGGGTGGACCAGACCAGAGCCGGGTTCGTGACCCACTTCATCACCACTCAGCACCGCCGCCCTCACTTACCATGGACGGCCATCGAGGGATACTCCTCTTCCTCTTCCTCATATTAGGTGAGTACAACTGTGTCTGTCTGTCTGTGTCTGTGTCTGTATGTCTGTCTGTCTGTCTGTCTGTCTGTACGTCACTGTTGGGAGAAAGTAGAACGGGTCTTCTGGCATTATTGTCAAGCCAAGTACAACTGTTTTTCAGACTCTGCCATATATGATCGCCACTACAGGCAGAAGACGGGCGAACCATCGGCAGGCTTTACTTCTATACTCAAACACAAACTTTGTCTCTCTGTGGATCATGCCATAGAACATCGCCACTACAGGCAGAAGGATGTATTTCTTCTGGCGTAGCTTCCATAACTGTGTCATTGTTGAGTTTTAATGAACGCCTGGCGATGGTGATCACTCGTGTTGGTGATGTTTATATGAGGCGGTTCTACTGTGTATATGTTCTATTGGTAATGATTTTATACTGTATTAAATGTATTTGATCTGTACTCCTCTGTACACTTTCCGGGTTGTGTATGCATTAAGTGTACATGATACATACTTCTGTGTACACTTTCCGGGTTGTGTATGCATTAAGTGTACATAATTTGTATTTCTTTGTGCATTTTCCCGGGTTGTGTATGAGTTAAGCGTACATTATACATACTAATGTGTACATAATTCCTTACTTACCGTGTTCCAGCTATGACTGTTCTTAATTTAGTGTATCTTAGCAAGCGTCTCTCTATTAACACATTATAACTGATACTCGTCAACTCTAACAGAAAACCTCTCAATACCGGACCAACTCGCTGTACCCACCAGTCCGCTATTGAGAAGTCTTGCTGTGTATACCTATTATTATTATATATTTTGGTCTATAATTCAACTACCTGGAGACCATTAAGAAGACTATAACATCAACTAAATTAAATACCTTACCTGAATTACTGATCTAACACCTGTTTTGGGCGGCTAAGACAGGTATTAAGTTGCCAGACTGGTGTTAGAATGTTTGTCTGTGTTAGTTATGTAAAAGTGGTAATGGCGGGGACAACACATAGGATACCAAGACTCTGAACTACACTTACCTCGTCTAAGTTAAGTCAAGTACCCATTAACAGCTGGGTGGACTAAGGGGCGCCCCGGGGAGTGTATACCATTGAACCTTAGGTACACGGGGTGAGTCTTGTGTCTACTAGGCCTCTGTATTTCTTAGTTACCACGTGTTAAAAGGCCCTGGATGTTTGTTTGTCTCCGGCCTAATGATGAGAACACACACACACACACACACACACACACACACACACACACACACACATAATGCGACACCAGATGTTTTTATATTAAGTAACACATAAACACACACACAAACACACTTCACACATGAATAGGTTATTGAATGCAATGGAGGGGAGGGGAGGCGGACGAGGAGGAGAAGGGGTAGGAGAGGGGGTAGAGGGGGTAGGGAGGACAAGGAGGAGGAGGGGTAGGGAGAGGGGGTAGGGGGGGGAGGAGGACGAGGAGGAGAGGGGGTAGGGGGAGGAGGGACAAGGAGGAGAAGGGGTAGGAGAGGGGAGTAGGAGGAGGGAGAGGACGAGGAGGAGAAGGGGTAGGGAGAGGGGAGTAGAGGAGGGAGGAGGACGAGGAGGAGAAGGGGTAGGAGAGGGGAGTAGAGGAGGGAGGAGGGGTAAAAGGGGAAGGGGGGGCAGAGGAAGATAAATGAATGAGCGTAAAATAATAACCCCACCCCCAAAAAAGCAACAACAACAAAAAACTTACCTGCGGTCAACATAATTGGTGAAGGTCAAGAAGTTTACGGTTAAAATATTCACACGCTGCTGCAGTGACTCATGCATATTGTATCGTCACGGAACTGCGTGTGGTGTTGCGTGTCTGGTGTCTGCCTGTCTGTCTGTCTGTCTGTCCGTCTGTCTGTCTGTCAGTCTGTCTGTCTGTATATGAGTTAGGGGTTCTGTGTTTGATAGATGTATAATAGTAAAGGGGTGTGTTTGAGGGTTGGGGGGTAGGGGTGAGGTGGGGGGGTTTGGGGGTGGGGGGGGGTGGGGTGGGGTAGGGGTTGGGGTTGGGGTAGGGGTGGGGTTGGGGTGGGGTAGGGGTGGGGTTGGGGTTGGGGGGAGGGTGGGGTTGGGGTTGAAGGTGTGGGGGTGGTTTAAGGGTAGATTAGGGTATGGTAGCTGAGGTTGAGTTTGGTTAGGTTAGATTAGGTTCTGGGTAGGTTCGGTTGGGTTAGACCTAGGTTTGGTTAAGTTAAGTTAGGTTAGGTGTGGTGAATGATGGAAGGAGGGAGGTAAGTTGGTGAATGAGGGAGAGAAATTGGTAGGATAGGCAGGGAGGGAGGGAGGAAGGGAGGAAAGTAGACAAGGGAGTAAGTAAGGGAGAGAAGGAGTGAGAGAGGGGAGTGGACCAGCTCACAAACACACCAGGAAGATTGGTTGTGACTAAACAAACAATGTAATGCAGCGCTCCTGGTTCTCACAAACTGCCCGTGTTGATCAAGTCAATATGTTTTGGGTTCAGCGACAGAGGCCAAAAATGGTTGGTGCTTTGAGCGACCGCCCCACCCACCCACGCACACACCCACCTACCTAGTGTAAATGTCTTGCTCGAGTTTCCCCAATTTTTTTTTAATTTAAATCTGTTATCCTAGATGGAATACAGATACGCCATCTTGTAATTTAATAATTTTTAATGTGTGTGTGTGTGTGTGTGTGTGTGTGTGTGTGTGTGTGTGTGTGTTTATACCTGAATTTAGTCCATATAATACCTATTCTTTCCTGACTTAACTGATGGATGTCTTTGGTTCGTGATGGATGTCTTAGCAGGTAGAGAAAGATCCTCCATTAAACACGTGTAAAGTTATTTTGACAGTTTAAAGTTCATCAGTGTTGTTGGGTGAATATTGCGAGTGTGTTTTTTTTGTTTGTTTTGGTGGAAGGTTGCCATATGCTGGGTTGGGACGTTGCCATTTAGTGAACTGGAATACATATTGAAATGGGGTTGGAGTGATGCCATATGGTCAGCTGGATGTTTGCCATACGGTGGGTTCAGTAGTTGACATAGAGTCGGTTACTAGGATGCCTAATTTTGAGGTTGGAAGTTTGCCATAGTTTTGAACTGAGACATTGCCATATGATTGGATACGAGAATGCAAATTGATGCACTGGGAGAGTGCCATATGATAACTGGAATGTTGTCATATTGTACCTTTGGAAATATGTCAGATAGTGGGCTTGGTGATGTTGGAAAGTTGCCATATATTAGACTGGAAGAATGCCATATTGCGTAAAAGAGTTGTCATATTATGGTATGTTGGCCGAGATTATCATACAAATGCCCACAAAAATGCCCACAGTGTAAACCCAGAATAATGCCATTAGGGTAGAAATCCTCACCTGTAAATATTAATTAAGGCGTTAAATTAATTAGGGTAGTACATGTACACCTGTGCTAAGGTATAGAGTGTACTTACTGCTCAGGTGTTGTTGCTTACTATCATGTACTGTACATACCTGGTGTACTTGTGTGCTTTTATCTATTGATGTTCATGGTGTAACGGAGTGAGGTTGTACTGTACACTGAGTTAAAGATAGATAGAACATGTACACAGTTGCTAGCGTGTACCTGTAATACCCGCCAGGTGTGTTTGTGTATTTTTTTCTCACGGAGGTCGTCTCATACCTGAACCTGGTGTACTCTGAGTTCAAGTAGATAGTACATGTACACTCGTGGTAACGTGTACTTGTATAACTTGTCACGTGTACATTACCTGCTCTAATGAGGGAGGTTCTTGGCTTACCTGTCTCACCTGCGAGTACCTTGAATTAAAGATGGATAGTATATGTACTTTCGTGTTATGTACTATACCTGTGTCGTGTTTTAACCCACCCACTGAAATTTGGAGGGGATATAATTGTAATGGTTTTCATTTGTTTGTCTGTCTGTCCCGGAGAGAGAGAGAGAGAGAGAGAGAGAGAGAGAGAGAGAGAGAGAGAGAGAGAGAGAGAACAGTTCACGAAACGACACATTATACAGCTCGGGTGTAATTAAACGAACTTTTTGATAATATAACTAACCTAACCAAACCTAACCAAACCCTCCACCCCACAGGCAGCGTTAGGTTAGGTTAATCTTCAAAATATTCACCTACGGGCCTATGGTAATTCATAAGAACAATTGAATATCTCACAAAAAATTACCCCACAAAATGAAAAAAGAAAAAAAAAGAAAATGAGAATACTAACCTGAATGTCGGTCGAGTAAATAAGATTGATTGACTGATACGTTTATTGAGATACAAAAAACATTAACACATCTCAAAGGGATGAAGTGACATAAGTCATCCCCACCCCAGTCCAGGAATGTCCCTCTCAGGACTCACATAAATCCTTAATATTTCACATAATCAGTTTTAGTACATAGTTATATTCTAGGTGCAAAATGTTTATATTTCTTTAATATTTCATCTATTTTTCCTATTTTTAAACATCCACTCTATTTGCTTGGGGATAAATAAGACCGAGTCCCCGTTTTCTCTCTGTCACCATCTGGCTCCCAGCTGGCTTGCCCAAATGTCACCATCTATCCGGAATGATGGCCTGGGGGGGAGGGAAGAGGGGGTTGGGGGAGGGGGACACACGTGACTTTAGTTCTGTAAGTGTAGAAATGTATAATTAGGTACAGGGTGTCTCTCTCTCTCTCCTCTCTCTGTATACATAAACACAACCCACTGATAAAGCATTAATTATCCACAGGTATTTTTACTGAATAATAAACTCACACACACACACACACACACACACACACACACACACATACACATAAACACACACACAAATCCTTGACAGCGTGTGTGTGTGTGTGTGTGTTTGTGTGAGCGATGATTCTTCTCGGGTGTGCGTGACGACGTGTGTGTACTTCTCTTGGAGTGTGTTTGTGTGTTTGTGTTTCTCCCATCGTGTGTTTTCGTGTGCATGTATGTGTACTTATCCTCGTGTGTGTGTGTGTGTGTGTGTGCTTGTATGAAATATTTGTACCGGTCATATCTTGTA